CTTTGGTGCACTTGATGACTTATCATGTTCTGACACACATGCAACCCATTATCTGTTTCTGACATAGAACCTCAGCGAAAACAAATTGAGCATAATATCCATCAAAAGGTTCTTGAATATGTTGTGAAAAATACAGGGACATGAAGCTGCTGAGCGGGATCAAAATGAACCTTTGTTGATGACCGAACCTGTATCTGGTACAGCTTCTGTCCAGCTCCACTGTGACGGGCACCACACAAACAGCAATGTATCTCATCACATGCAATCACTTTTCCCCATCACATATTCTCCATGGTAAGTATCACCCACTGACAGTATACATCCTCAAGCAGATACAATCTCCCATATATACTTTAGTCCTTCAGCCATAAACTACTGTGGACGAGCTGAAATCTCATTTCTCCCACCAAGTAAGTCCTTTTGCAGCCTGTGGAGTCTGTGGAGAAAGTGGAGCGTATGGAGCCCTGGCCCTTTCCACAAAGTGATTGTACTGCCATGACTGTCTTTGTTGAAGTATTGGAGTTACGACCATTTTGGTACTAAGGTCGGGTTCTGACTTTGTGAGCACCTGGAACACACTCTGGAGTTTAAGTGAAGGGAAGATATATTCAACCATCCATGACACTAGGTGGGGGATAGCCTTTGATGATGCTCTGACTTCCATAAAATGTCTATAAACATAGTAGCAAAGGACAGAAGGGTTTCAAATACACCAATAGAATATCCATAATGCTATGTCCATTCTGAAAAATGTGGACCATTAAAACCACTGAGGACCTTCAGATAATACTAGCAATACTAAAAAGTGACAAATCATCTTCATATCTAGTTGTCGCTTTATAATTAATGATCCACTATGTTAGAATATGCCAGTGTAGCAGGGGGTGGAGTCATCCACAGATGACATCCTTACCTTGTCAGCTTGATGACGGGTGTAACCTCTTTGGCCACTGGGACAAGGCGTCTGACTTCAGATCAGAAGGTCTGTGGTTCAAATCCGAGCGAGGGACACAAAAATTTTTATGGCTGCTATACCCGGATAGGTTATGTACCAACATGACCAATCAGTAATTATTATCAGTATTAATGAGTGATTGAGTTTAGTTTTATATCGAGTCTGGACCTGAAAATCCAGTGATCAACAGCATGAGCATCGATCTGCGCAATTGGGATACGATGTCAACCCAGTCAGCGAGCCTGACCACCCGATCCCGTTAGTCGCCTCTTACAACAAGCATGGGTTACTGAAGATCAATTCTAACCCGGACCTTCACGGGTCATCAGTGTTAATGAAAGCCAAGAGAACTAATAGTGCTAAGGTTGGCCCTGGTATGAACTCTTTGGCTGTATCAGCAATGCTGTCATGGTTATGTTCTGGGCATGTGTTCACAAAGCAAACTTAGTGTTATATGAGTGAGTGAGTTTTACACCACTTTTAGCGATATTCCAGCAATATGACAACAGAGGACACCAGAAATGGGCTTCACAGATTGAAGCCATGTGGGGAATCAAACCTGAGTCTTCGGCGTGATGAGTGAGCACTTTAACCACAATGCTATCCCACTGACTCTTAGTATTATACGACAAATGTAACTTTACATTTAGATATGGGAGTTACAACAGGAACTACTGTCACTTTGTACAAGAACGCCAAGGTGTGCAGTACTCTCAGTATAAGGATGCTTACAGTACAACCTTTTCATCATTCCCAAAGATGTCTTGCTGAATCAGAAGTTGAACCAGATTTGCAACTGAGTTTACTTTTAGCCGCTTTTAGCAATATTCCAGCAATATCACAGTGGGGACACCAGAAATGGGCTCACACATTGTACCCATGTGGGAAATCGAACACAGGTCTTCAGCGTGACGAACCAACGCTTTAACCACTGACTACTCCATCACCCTGAACCAAATTAGCTTCATAGTTTGATCAATATTGATCTGATATTAACAAAAAGAAATATTTTTCATATAATATCATGCATCAATAGCAAGTGTAAGAACAAGTTTATTTATCTGCACAGCAAGTGCATGCTAATCAATATTATCTAAGAGTGAGCAGGTATTGTTCAACATACTGACAGCAAAGGCTTCACTCACCCTGTCTCTAACTAGGACCAACAGTTAAACATTACCAGGTGATGTCTCTATATTGTACTCTTTATTGAGAATCAAATGAACAAAGGCTCTGCAGCTCACCTGTTAATAACATTTCTACCTCTTAGGTCCTGTGCATAGAGCTTAGGTCACTAATCAGTTAAAGTTAAGCGACAGTGGGCACAGAGAATACCTGGATGGGCTTGGCAGCTTGATTTCTGAGAGTTTCTAAGACTTCAGTCCTGCACCACAACGAAACACATGTGATACATGTGGTCTCACCTCAGGCAAGTCAGTTTGTTCAAACTTGCCTCTGTTCACCCAGCAGAAAATGGATACCCGGTGGGATAAGTCATGTGACTATTAATCTTCTAGCGCCTCACAGGCAGCTTGGGTTATCCAGGGTCATAATAATCAGATATATTTGTGAGCGCTTTGAACAGGATATGAAGCCTGGAAAGGTGCGTTATAAATATTCTACATTATTAATGAAAATGTCCCATTTTGATAAAATCAATCAGGTGAAGATGGGTGGTATGGGGTAGTGTGGGGTAGTGTGGTGCTGGGTTGGGTTGGAATTGGATGGCATGGGATTGGGAGGGGTACAGTGTTTGCAATACTGTAATTTGCCAGTTGGCCATCAGGGCCTGCTGCCGCCTGCAGGCTGTAAAACCTACAGGCCCTGAATGAAATCTGCAGGCCCATTTTGTTAAAGTCAAACCAATGAAAACAAAATAGACTACACTGTACACTTTCACACTGTTTCTACAAAATCAAATAGCGAAGATAAGGCGCAGAGAGAAGTTTGTATTTGTGACTGGTGTTTACATGCCTATGCGCAAAGCGCTGAAATACCAGGAAGTGAAACTGTAGGTTATCGTAACATGATGGATCATGGATGATTCCCGAACGTTAATAAAAAAAATATATAGGAAAGATTCCAGTTGAAAAAAAAAAGACAGATAATTAATTTACTGAAGGCCACAAGAGCATGCAAATATTTTAAACTGCCAGCCCGATACAATAACAACCGGCGCTGGGCCTCTGGGCCGGTGATTATTTCGAACGCTGGAGGGGTACATAATCATACAGAAGTTAATCAGAAAGAACAATCTTCATAAATTGCAACCATATAGGAACATGAGTCTGAGATGATATTTTCACCAACAGACTTCCTAATGCCCTGATATTTATAAATCAAAGTTATCATAATTCATTTCTACCTCACCAAAACACTGAACATCATCTCTTACTTTTCTAAATGAAATTATTTCAGCTTCACACTGGTGTAGGAATCTACATTAAAACATTGATCAACAAAATAAACCAAAAGTGCTTATAGGACAACTTGCACGTTTCCTTATTAACTGATCAGCTACTTCAAACAGTTGAAGAAAAATATACTTAAAAAATTTAGCTATACACTGGTATCTAAATATGAAACCGATCACAGGAACAAACAATAGCTATCACAACCTACACCACAAGAAACCGACACATGGCACCATTACAATAATATCTACATAACCAAGGTAATTCCCCTCCGATGTTCATACCCACTGTTTACTAGCTTGCATTGACGTTCATCAAACCTGAGTGAGAACCCTGTGTAGAACTGCCCTGAGAGTGGAGCGTCTGAATGCCAACATCAACTCTACCTGGGGTAGCAGTATATACTTAGGTGTTGTTGTGGCAGAGCTCAGTGTGGGTCTTTCCTTGCCATGTTATTGTAAACTGTGTCGATACAACCCAACCCTGGACTGTGTCTCCAAACCCAACACTTGATTCTGTCAATACAACCTAGCTGACACCATCTGATCGTTGACCCTAGAGTCATATACATAGGGGATTCAAGCTGCCATTGTACAAGGTGATCTTAATGCCAAGATGATCATAACTCACATACCTTCACAGAGGCTTACGACAATTGTAAGATTGTAGCTGCAAAACCTGAGTCTGTTATACTGCTGATGTGGATACTAAGACAGCAACCAGGTGTTTGTACACAACAGCAACCTGATGTCTAGCCTTACACCTACCTGAGTCTACCTGATACTACTGATGTAGTACTATGATAGTTTTGTATTAACAGCAACCAGGTGTCTAGCCTTACACCTACCTGAGTCTGCTATACTACTGATGTAGTACTATGATAGTTGTAGCCTTACACCTACCTGAGTCTGCTATACTACTGATGTAGTACTATGATAGTTTTGTACAACAGCAACCAGGTGTCTAGCCTTACACCTGCCTGACCTTACACTGATGTAGGACTATGATAGTTTTGTTGTACAACAGCAACCAGGTGTCTAGCTATACACCTACCTATAGTCTGCTATACTGCTGATGTAGGACTATGATAGTTTTGTACAACAGCAACCAAGTGTACACCTACCAGTCTGCTATACTGCTGATGTAGGACTATGATAGTTTTGTACAACAGCTAGCCAGGTGTCTAGCCTTACACCTACCTGAGTCTGCTATACTGCTGATGTAGGACTATGATAGTTTTGTACAACAGCAACCAGGTGTCTAGCCTCATTACACCTACCTGAGTCTGCTATACTGCTGATGTAGCACTATGATAGTTTTGTACAACAGCAACCAGGTGTCTAGCCTTACACCTACCTGAGTCTGCTATACTGCTGATGTAGCACTATGATAGTTTTGTACAACAGCAACCAGGTGTCTAGCCTTACACCTACCTGAGTCTGCTATACTGCTGATGTAGCACTATGATAGTTTTGCACAACAGCAACCATACTGCTGATGTAGCACTATGATAGTTTTGTACAACAGCAACCAGGTGTCTAGCCTTACACCTACCTGAGTCTGCTATACTGCTGATGTAGTACTATGATAGTTTTGTACAACAGCAACCAGGTGTCTAGCCTTACACCTACCTGAGTCTGCTATACTGCTGATGGTGAGTAGTGCCATGTTGGTCAGTCCCTGGTCTGGGAGGTGCAGCTGCAGACACTGGTCCAGCAGCTTGAGGACATCCTCCTCCAGGGCCTTCTCCTGCAGGGCTTCTGGAACACAAAGAGACACCAGTGAAAGACAGGACATAGTCAGCATGACACTACAGACAGGAATGTTCACAAGAACACACCATTAAAACACGGTGTTACAATTCAGGCAAACCCGTCTACAAAACAGTCTTAGCTGGGAGATAATTTAAGTGCATGGTAAAGGTAAACATTGCAATACTGCATAGAACATATGTCGGCCCCACTACTTATCATATTTTTTAACAGTCATGATAGAGCCATTTAAGTTTTTGGTCAATAGGGCTGCCATGGAGGACATTCTGAAAATAGGATAGAAACATCTGTACATCTAGGTTTTCATCACTGGTGGGATTAAATGCCAAAAAAATTCAGCTTCGTTGGGCCTTTGTTTTCTGAACAAAAGCTTACAGACATCACTGGTGTAATAGGTGTACTTGTGACACCTGCTAAGGTTACTGTATATAGCTATAACACCTGGCAGGTGAGATATGACATTCTATAATGGGCAGGTGCAAGTTTGACATCTAGGAGTTAGATATAGTTGTGTCACCTGTTCTGTGCAATGAAACACCTGTCTTAAGAGTGAGATATGGCTGTGACAAGTGTCTTAAGAGTGAGATATACGTGAATCCTGTCATTGGAGTGAGATATAACACAATCCTGTCATTGGAGTGAGATATAACACATGTCCTAGGAGCTACATATTTGATATGTGATGTCTGTTGTGATGGCTCAGTCTAACTGTGACGCCTGCTACAGGAGCTGTATATAGCTGTATCTGAGATGTTATTTTAATATAAGAGCTAGATACAGCACTGACACCTGTTGTGTGAGATGTTAACTTACTGTATTACATATAGTACAGACACCTGTCCTAGGAGGAAGATATAGCAGTAATACCTGACCTAGGAGGGAGATATAGCTGTAACACCTGACCTAGGAGGGAGATATAGCTGTAACACCTGACCTAGGAGGGAGATATAGCTGTGATACCTGACCTTGGAGGGAGATATAGCTGTAACACCTGACCTAGGAGGGAGATATAGCTGTAACACCTGACCTAGGAGGGAGATATAGCTGTGATACCTGAGGAGGAGATATATACCTGACCTAGGAGGGAGATATAGCTGTAACACCTGACCTAGGAAGGAGGAGATATAGCTGACCCTAGGAGGGAGATATAGCTGTAACACCTGACTAGGAGGGAGATATATAGCTGACCTAGGAGGGAGATATAGCTGTGATACCTGACCTTGGAGGGAGATATAGCTGTAACACCTGACCTAGGAGGGAGATATAGCTGTGATACCTGACTTAGGAGGGAGATATAGCTGTGATACCTGACCTAGGAGGGAGATATAGCTGTAACACCTGACCTTGGAGCAAGACATAGCAGTGAAACCTGACCTAGGAAGGAGATATAGCTGTGATACCTGACCTAGGAGGGAGATATAGCTGTAACACCTGACCTTGGAGGGAGATATAGCTGTGATACCTGACCTAGGAAGGAGATATAGCTGTGATACCTGACCTTAGGAGGGAGATATAGCTGTGACACCTGACCTAGGAGGGAGATATAGCTGTAACACCTGACCTAGGAGGGAGATATAGCTGTAACACCTGACCTAGGAGGGAGATATAGCTGTAACACCTGACCTTGGAGCAAGACATAGCAGTGAAACCTGACCTAGGAAGGAGATATAGCTGTGATACCTGACCTAGGAGGGAGATATAGCTGTAACACCTGACCTTTGAGGGAGATATAGCTGTGACACCTGACCTAGGAGGAAGATATAGCTGTGACACCTGACCTAGGAGCAAGACATAGCAGTGAAACCTGTTGTGTGAGATGTTACACTTACAACAAGAGTTAGATGTAATGGTGACACCTGCTACAATGGCTACAAATATTTGTGACACCTGCATTATCAGCCTTGCTGACTTTCCGTGACAACATGCAACCATTGGTTGGTTTGTCCCAAACTAAATATTAATACTATCTCACTGTAAACTGTCTGAACAACCTTCCCAAGCTCAAACCACCCCATCATCAGAGAAACCCTATCAACACTGCTACACACCACTTCAATAGCCATTTAACACATTACAACTGGCTGAACCCTCAACACTGACTGTTCAGCCAGACCCATAATACAAACATATTCTGTTATCACTAGTACAAGTCTGTAGGGATGCATCACCTCTAAACAAAACCAACAACCTCACAGCCATGTGCTGTTCTAATCACTCCACTCCCCACTTCCAAGCAAACACAGTGGTTCGGTTTTTTCATTACACAAACTGGAGTAAGTGTGGAAGCTGCATCCTGCATCCTGATACAGCTGAGCATGTGTTATGTAAGTGACACCATACCTACTGCCACTGAGGGCAGATCTCCGATGCTTGCACTCAGGTAAAACGACAGAGACTAGGTATTCTAGATTCAGGACAAATTCGGGTTAGACTTTCAGAACTTGGGCTGTCAAAAAATAGAATATTTTTCTTCCTGTGAGTTTTGGCTTGAATCATCAAGGAAGAATGCCAAGGTTTATGTCAGCTGGGTTCAAGGCAACAAAACTGTATCAACATAAAACTTGGACAAATGCTCTGTGTCTAGATGATGTTTGTGCATCACAGTGAGAGCGTAAGTGTGAGTGTAAGTGTGGGTGCGGGTGTGGGTGTGGGTGTGGGTGTGGGTGTGGGTGTGGGTGTGGGTGTGGGTGTGGGTGTGGGTGTGGGTTCAGGTGTGGTTGTGGTTGTGGGTGTGGATGAGGGTGTGGGTGTGGATGAGGGTGTGGGTGTGGAGTGTGGGTGTGGGTGTGGGTGTGGATGTGGATGAGGATGGTGGTGGGTGTGGGTGAGGGTGAGGGTGTGGGTGTGGGTGTGGATGTGGATGTGGGTGAGTGGTGTGGGTGTGGGTGTGGGTGAGGTGTGGTGTGGTGTGTGTGTGTGTGTGTGTGTGAGGGTGTGTGTGTGGGTGTGTGTGAGGTGTGGGTGTGGATGAGGTGTGGGTGTGGTTGTGTGTGTGTGTGGGGGTGTGGATGTGGGTGTGGGGTGTGGGTGAGGGGTGTGGTGTGATGTGTGGGTGAGGATGTATGGTTATGGGTGTGGGTGTGTGTGTAGGTGTGTGTTGTGTGTGTGTGTGGGTGTGTGGATGAGGGTGTGAGGTGTGGATGAGGGGTGTGGGTGTGTGTGTGTGGAGTGAGGGTGAGGTGTGGGTGTGGGTGAGGTGTGTGGGTGTGTGTGTAGGTGTGTGTGTGTGTGTGTGTGTGGATGAGGAGTGTGGTTGAGGTGTGGTGGGGGATATAGTGTGTGTGGTTGTGGTTGTGGGTGAGGATGTGGTGTGGTGTGTGGGTGTGGAGTGTAGGAGTGGAGTGTGGGTGTAGATTATTAAGGTGTGGAAGTGTGGAATTGTGGGTGTGGATTTGTGTGGTGAGGGTGTGGGTGTGGTTGTGGAGTGTGGTTGTGGTCCTGGTGTGGATTTTAGTTGTGGTTTGTGGTTGTGGGTATGTGGAGTGTGTGATGTAAGGTGGTTGTGTGAGAAGTGGGTAATGGTGTGCATGGTATGTGGTGTGGATGAGGGATGTGCACTCAGGTGTGGGTGTGGGTGAGACTTTCCAGAACTTGGGCTGTCAAAAAAATAGTATATTTTTTCTTCCTGTGTGGCTTGTAGGTGTGGTTTATGTGGGTGGGATGAGGGTGTGGGTGATGGTGTGTGGGTAAGGGTGTGAGTGTGGGTGTGTGGGTGTGGGGTGTGGGTGTGTGTGGGTTGGGTGGGGTGAGTTGTGGGTGTGGATGTGTGGGTGTGGGTGTGGGTGAGGGTGTGGGTGAGGTGTGGATGAGGGGTGTGGGTGTGTGGTTGTGGGTGTGAGGTGTGGGTGTGTGTGTGGGTGTGGGTGAGGGTGTGGATGAGGGGTGTGGGTGTGGGTGTGGGTGTGGGTGTGGATGAGGGTGTGGGTGTGGGTGAGGGTGTGGATGAGGGTGTGAGGTGTGGGTGTGGGTGTGGGTGTGGGTGTGGGGTGTGGTGTGGATGAGGGTGTGGATATGGGTGTGGGTGTGGTTGTGGGTGTGAGATATGGGTGTGGTGTGGTGTGTGGGTGTGGTGTGTGGAGGTGAGGGTGTGTTTGTGTGTGTGTGTGGGGGGTGAGGGTGTGGATGAGGGGTGTGTGTGTGTGTGTGTGTGTGTGTGGATGAAGTGTGTGTGTGTGGATGAAGGTGTGGTTGTGGGTGTGTGTGTGTGTGGGGGGGGTGGGTGTGGGTGTGAGTGGAGTGGAGTGGAGTGAGTGTGTGTGTGTGTGAGTGAGTGTTTAATGTGGTTTTCATCAGTATTCCAGTTATATCACTGTCTGTCAGCTAAAGGTGGGAGAAGTAGAGGTGATGTGGCTGTCAGAAGTTTACTGCTTGGGTGAAACCGACATGTCATACAATGGTGCTGACAGACCTAGAAACATGACTGGGGCAAACCAGGATTTGAACCCATATTCTGGGAAGCATCTCTGTACAACAAATGGCAGCACCTTAGACTGACTGACTGAGATTTACGCCGCTTTTAGCAATATTCAAGCAATATCACGGCGGGGACACCAGAAATGGGCTTCACAAATTGTACCCATGTGGGGAATCGAACCCGTGCCTTGGCGTAGACGTGCGAACGCTTTAACCACTAGGCTACCCCACCTCCCCAGTACCTTAGATGACTCTGTCACCCACACCCCTCTTTATAAACAAACAAACAAGCCTGTCATAGGCAGACTGTTGAATAGTGCATGAATCATCTAATTAACTATGAATACACTGGGTAAGAGGGTCAGACCATCATGAACATATAAAAGTACTAAATAAGTAACTTATTTCTTTCATAGTGGTATATAGTATCATGTAACCATAAGGGGATTCATACAAAATTGTGGTGAAAAAGACAAGAATGAATGGTGTAGACCAACCAAGGATTGTAATCAGGAAGAACCCATAACTTGAAATACTGACTGACTGACTGAATTTGGTTTTACGCCGCTTTTAGC